ACAGCCCGGGTAACGCAGGCAGCGCATTCCGGCATAGCGAGGTCGCCACGGCACTGGTAGAGGCCGTGGACGACGTCGCTCTGGCTGGAGCCCACCACGGTGAGCTTGTTGAAGGAGGAGTACGTGGCCGAGTTGACCAGCGAGGTGAGGAGAGAGTTCAGGTTTGACTCGTAGGGCGAGTTGGAGGCGTACCGTTGCTGCGTGCAGCCGCCGTAGAGGAAGAAATCCGCGGCAGAAGATAGAGAGAGAACGAAGAAGGTGGCCAGAGAGAATAAGGTTAACAAGACAGTAGGGGTTTGTTTCGTTTTCGCCATTTGTTTTCTGAGAAGTACTACTGGGTTGGTTTGGTTGACGTACGAGGTTGATGAAGATGTGTTTTAGTTAATGCATGTGTATGTCAGAAGGAGATGGTGATGTTATGTGCGTGTATGTCATGGGGGATTTGATTTGATTTGGTGATATAAATGATGGGTTGGTATTGCTTGGGAGTGGAGGAGTGAAGAGTGGAAGACCTGCGAGTTTGGACATGGAGTTGCTTTAAATAAGCACGCCACGCCATAGCCATGTTATCTCCGTGCTGAATAAAACACAACTTTTCCTTCTTAATTTACTGCCCAGCATGTGGGCTCTATATACCTTTTCAAGAATCATCTTCATGTCATGTAATGTGGGCAAATATAATGAAATTTATTTCAAAATGAAATGTCGGATAATGGTTGTTGATTATTGTAAAATAATTGTTGTATTGTGTTTTTTTTTTCATCTCTTAATCCTGTTCGTCGTCTACTTTGGTGCCATTACTTAATCTCGAGGAACTTTTTTCCCTTTTCTTTTGAATTAAAAGAATAATGCTAAACCCTTTTGTAGCTTTAAGTGTAACCCTAATGATTGTGGCTATTGCTGTATCAATCAGTATACTCAGTTTCAGTTTGAATATACTAATGGTATAAGATAACGAAAGTCGAAAGGGAAAGGTGCATGTTACGTATCCAGAAACAAAGTGACGAACACAGCATGGCTGGAGATGAATGATAAATAATGATATCATCATTTTAAATTAAAGTCTGTAAGACATAACTTACACTTCTCGTTACTAAGGAAGGTTGAGAAAACAAGAAGAAATAAGGATGAAGTCGGTTCACTATTACCAAGATCTCACGTACGCACGCACTAAAATCAATTTCTAAAATCTAATGCCAAATATTAAAAATGATTTTATTGAATGCCATATATTGATCCATTGGCATGTATCGAATCCAGAGTCTCTCAAAAAGAACACAAACCGACACAGTTCATAAGAAGGGGCTTTATCATGCATTAATATATGTATTGATCGTAAAGTAAGCCTATACACTCACGTAGGAACGGGCTTTTAACACCTTTTGCCCTATTGGCACACGATACCTTTTTTTTTCAAGTGAAGACGCAAGAGTACAACTGTGACATCGCACTACACCATATCTTCATCGATCTCACGTTCAGTTTGCAATACTATAGCCAGGTCTAATATTACCGGACATTGCAATATAGCATTGAACATTGAGTTTTTATATAGCAGCATGAAAGTTTATGGAAAGTTGTTTCTCGTGTGAAGTTGAAAGAGAAACGTAGTGGGCCTTAAATAATGGCATAAATGTTGAGAACACTACATGAAAGTCACGAGAAGGTTTAGAATAGTGGCAAAATCCCAAAAAGGGTTTTAACCTCATGTCTATTGCAGTTAGTGAGTTAGGGTTTCTAGTTTGAAAATGGTCCCCTAGTGATATCACCTTTAACTGTTCCAGCATATAAAGGTACAACCAAAACAATAGGTCCCTTAGTAACCACTAATATGAAATTTCTTCTTCTTAAACAATATTCGGAACTGATCATATACTCAAGAAGTTTAGATCCATTAGGCGAATAAGACTCACACTCTCAATTGTACGTTTTGACCTAATTAGAGGAGAAGGAATGGAAAGTCGATGACAAACTAAATAAACTGCACCTTATCACATTTGCATTGTTCCTAAATAAACCAATATTTGATAGTGCTGCAAACACTGGTTTAATATGCTTTCAAACCAAAACAAGATAATGTTGAATCTATACGTATCCCCTCATTAATACTTGTTTTTTTTTCTAATCAAATTGGTAATATATATGTACAGTACCCATCTATATATTGGACAAAAGGAGGAGGGGCAAACATGAAATTAAAAAATAAAAAAAATTAATAGAAAGAGAAAAGGATAAACATACAAAGTGATATATTTTTCTCTCATTACTAAAAGAGAATCAAGAGAGAAAATAAATACGTATTCCTTCAAAGTTACGCTTATTGCGTGTCTTTGTCTTTTGGGTAATCTTTCTTGACTTGTTTAATAAAAATATCATGTGATAAGTGATTTCATGTAAGAGATAAAGAAGAAAACGAAAAAATGTTGATAATGTTTTGTTCTAACTGAGATATAACTTTATGCTAGAGTATTATTTTTTTTAAGCATTTGAAGATATTATTTATATTTGTTTTGTCATAATCAAAAACTCTTACCTCTATTTTGTCATTAATTAAGTTGTTTTAGTGGTTTTTTATTTTCTTGAGTAGTTTCATAAAATTGAGTCTCATTTACAAATTCAACTCACATACGTGAATTCATTTTGAAACATTTTTTTAGATGAAGAATTTATTTGAATTTGACTATAATGTGTTTAATTAATAGATATTATTGGAGTTTTCTATCATGATATTAAAATTAAGGTGACCATCTAATTCCACTTCACCAACTTCACCATGTTTAAATGAAATTATAAATAAGTTCATCAATACACAATTTTTAACTTCAAATATTTAAGAGATTGGTCGAAATAATCGGATATAGCTCTATCATTATATTATTCGTTTATCACACCTTTTTATTTATGGATTTATATATAATTTTTTTTCTATTGTTTAACCAACTCTTATGGACAACATATCAGGGCACCACACCTCCTTTTTAATTTTTTTAACGTGATGATAGAGGAAAATGTAAAAGTAAGTATCATGGATTATAAATTTAGTATTAAAGTTTAAATAAATAACAAATATTTTTATTTTCTAACTAGTTCCGATTCCCACGACTTAAAAAAATGAAATAAATCAATGTGAAACAAAAAGTGTGCTTGTCTTAAATTATTGTCTTTAAAAAACACTTACCTATAACTCTTTTTATTTCAACCTAAAATTTGGCCTTACCACCAATAAATCATGCATGTACACGCAAGAACTTGACATTTGCAGTAATTAAGAGAATCCAAACAAAAGAATCTGTAAGTTGTCCTGTTAAAAAGTGCAAAATGAATTTGTAACTTTAAGCTCGAAACAAGATGTTTTGGAGTAGCAGAGGAAAACAACTAAAGTTGAAAATGATGTAATCAAATAGGTCACACAATATTGTAACGAAAATAGCCAAAAATTCTGTCTAGACTGAACTGTTAGTATCACAAGAAAAAGCCATTTAGTATGGCAATTATTCATGTCATTGCAATTGGTGTTCCCTCTTTTTCGTTCGGCTCAAATCCTAATCAATAGGTAACATTGTTAATTAAGAAGCAGACACTCGAAAATTAATGCATTGTGAGGTCTTGCCCCCACTACACCACAAGAGACCCAACTGTCTTTATTCTGTCTTTCACTGCATCATATCGGTCGGCCCACGACTATTAATGGGCCCAAAAGACTCCAAACCCTCTATATCCAAACATCTATTATCACACAACCTTCTTCTTCCTCCTCTTCACATTTTCATTTCTTTCTTCATCTCCACTTAAAAACCGAATACAGTATGGCTAAGATCAACATTTTAAATCAGTGGGTCTTTTGTGTATTTCTTTGAACAAGTTTCTTCATTAACATTTTTAAAAGAAAAAGCTAAAATTAACTCATGCATAAAAATAATTCTCTAACATAACTTCTTTAAATTATTCATTTTTACTTTTTTGTACAAGATAATTTTAACTAATAGCGAAAATTCATTTAATTTTTTTTATCACTTTCTCTCTTTTTATGGAAAATTTTGTTCAAATATACCTTTTTTTACTTGTGGTTATATCTCTCCATGGCCGAACACAATACAGAAAAATGTGTGAGCCAACTTGGATTGGCTTGTGTTATGTTACGTAACTAGACAATTTTTTTTAAGTTTGTTGCGTTAGATTAACTGTATTTGTTATTATTCAATGCGTGTTTTCAGGAAGATTTACTTATTTTATTTAAAAAAAAAAGCTATTTTAGTCATTTCGACTAAATACCCCCAAATATATCTCGACCAAATACATAAACAAAAACATATGTTTATATGTATCTGGAGAACATTCTGTTATAATACACAGAAAAACATTTTTTATTTTGAAATTTGATAAGATCATGCCTAGATAATTATAAAATCATGTTTGATTTATAAGTTTAAACAAAAAAAATATTGGCGAAAAAATATATTTATATCGAGAGATATATAACGAATCGTCGTGTAGTAGGAGTGTTTTGAAAAAGGTTAGATGTCTGATAGAAAATTGAGGGTTTCAGTAGCAATACTCTAACATAAACTCAATTCTTTGTTAGACTCTACGCTATTGGGCTGGGTCCAGTTAGCAGTTGGTGGACCCTAATACTGAATGACATATCAAACGGGTATTTCTTTTTACACTTCAATAATTCCTCCCGGCACACCATAAAGGTTAAAACTCCTACTTTGTCCTTGTTATAGGAAGACTTGTGCAATCTAAAATAGGTTTTTAGATTCTATAATCTAAAAGTAACTTTCTGATCCTATAATCCAAAAATGATCTGTGAACTGCACAATTCAGACACAAGTGGATGTTGAGGGTTAATTTAGTCTTTTACACACTCCGTGTGGTCTTTGTCTTTCACAAAGTCGATGTGGTCCAGGAGGAAAACATAGTGTTGCAAAAAAAAGTCCCCATAGCAAAAGACCGAAGCTCAAATTATCTAACTCGACTTTATCTGAGTTGTACTTTTGCATCAATGTGTGATGGAGGCTCTTGTAAGCTCTTATATCCTTTTAATGCTAAAGCTGTAACTGGGGCAGTCTAGCTAAGGTAAGTGACTAAGTTATTTCATGGTCCATTGAAGTAAACAGTAAACACGTTTACAACTTGCTTCATCACATGTGGCTCAGAAAAATGAACCATCTTTACTCTTCAATGACATGGTCCCAAAAGTTATTGGGCCTGTTTATAGTCCTTTGGGCCCAGGGAGACGTATTTGATTCTTCTAAACCAATCGGTCAACTCCTAATTGATTATTTATTTTCATAAAGGAGAGAATATTCAAATTTGAAAGTGTACATTTCCTGAGCTGGCTTTTGGTATATATCAAGAGTTTCCTTTGATACTCCTCCACATAACTTATAGTGGGTGTTGAGTGTTTTCCCAACACAGCTACACCTTTTTCGTGGGGTCTTTTTGCTAATGCCAGCGATCTTTCTCCACTTATTACAACCACAACTTCATTGCTAAATATAATGCCTAACTCTATGCCCCACAACCTCTTCAGTTACATGTCATGACTCTAAAATCAGTTAATCCCTGCACTCTGTCATGCCAAAGCTTCTTTGCTCATGAATAGTTTTCCACTACGTTTCCCTCGAATTGTTAATACAAAATTATTCGATCATTTGGTCATAGATTAGCCACTTTGTGGTACTTTCTGATATCAAGCCACAAAGATCAATTGCCATTGCTGAAGCAGCAGTGTGAATTATGGACATAACTTTTAAACCGTACTGATTAAGGATCGAAGTTCACATAAATCTTCAGATCCAAGGTCCCCAAGAAAAAGTCTACCAGAATGCAAAGACAAAAGGACACTATTTAATATCTCCATCTACACTCCTACCTTCTTGAAGGTACAACTAAACAAGGGATATTGTTAGGTATAACAACTGATACACAGGCTGCCACAACTGAGTAACAAATAAAAAGACCCTATATACTTAAATTCAAGATGGTATGATCTCAAACAATAGGCCAAGCAACATGATCTAGTAATCACTCTTGATAATGACACTTAATCACGCTTGATAATGACATTTGTACCTAATGACGGCAGGGAATAACCCTAAAGTTTTTCTTAACAGAATCCATAAACGATTATCACATCAAATTTTTGTTCGTCCTGCACAGAACATGCCTTCCGAGTAAAGGGAAGAGAACTAAACCCCCCACAAAAGACAATCAATTCGCGCAGTAAATAAGAGAAAACAAGTTGCAGCTTCTCATTTTTTTTCTTCTTTTCAAGATAGCCTTATCGATTGCGTTGCTTGACATTAGCACAACTCTGTTGCTTGAAAAACAAAGCAATTCGATTGTGGACTAATTGATATCCACAAGTCTCTCAATAATACAGATAAGGTGAATTCCCACAAACAGATGTAAATTCCTTTTCTTTGAAAAAAAAAAAAAACTGGGGAATCACTAATTTCTATGCGATCTACTACTACTATATTATTTATATTCTATGACTCGGCTCAATTCTTTTGGATCCTACACAACTTTATGCCGAAACTCAAAGAAGTTGAACTCTACCCTTCACGATGCTACTACTCTATTTACAAGTCAGATTTGGCATCTCTTGTGCAGTTCATAGAACCAAGAACTTGCTTATTATCACGACCGACTTTTTGACCAGCAAGACGGTTTACTAATCTGTCTAGAGCTTCCTTCATCCACCAGTGTTGACAAACATCCCTTGCTTCGGTGACGCTCATCTAAAGGGAAAGTTTCAAACAAAAATCAGTGACCCTTTCAGAAAAGTACAACCCCACCATAATAAAATACTGCTTCAACATTCATTCAATTTGTTCATCTTTCTTACCCATACTCTTTGACGAACGTTTTGCTCAGGCCAGAACTCCAATTGCTCTTCAACAAGTAAAGGGAACATGTAGCCTTCATAGAAAGTGTCATGAGTCTTACTCTTGAAACTCCATTTACCCAATTTACCCTGCACCACCACAAAAAGGAACATCTTTTTGTTAATTTACTAAGCATTTTTTAGTAATCATTATTTTTGGCCAACATCATGATTAAATAGCTTACCCCAACAATGCCTCTCACCCCAGCTTCCTCCATGGTTTCTCTCAAAGCTGCCTCCTTTTTTGATTCGTCCAATTCCCAGCCTCCCTGGTATTCGGTCAACCAAAATATGATAAATGAATAAAATAAATCGAAATAATGTGTAACTTGGCCCATTTGGGTGTTGGTGTTGGTGTTGATTATTGACTAATAATTGATAATGGGTCTACCTTCGGAAATAGCATCCCTTTTCCCTTCTGAGAACTGATAACCAGAACTTCCAATTCATCAGAAACGTCCAAAGAAGTTTTCTGCCCAATCTTAAATCTGTACGGTATGCATCTGCATGAACACGATTCCACACACAAAATTAAAAACACAATTAGTAACGATTGAAATGAAATTCTACAATTCTACAGAAACAATGCAATCCTCAATTCACCAAACTAATTTACTTTCAATTCCCTCATTAAAAACCCATTTTCAAATTCCTAGTATCCAGTAACCACAAACCAGCAACCTTCAACTGCTTTACTCTTCTCTTAACCAGTAAACACAACTCACCCAAATCAGAACAAAGTTTAAAGGAATAAAAAATAGTTTCGACAAAGTTGGACAGGAAAAGAATTATATGAAACCCCATTTGCCCAAAATTAAAGAACAAGAGAGGGTTAAGAAGACACGAACCCCACAACTTGGCGACGACCTTTTCTATAACGTTGCAACTCTCTACCGGTACGAGAAACCAATGCCACAACATTTTCCTGGGCAACCACAGCCACCATTTTTTTTTCTTCTGTTTAACCCTTTTAAGGAAATTTCTAAACAAAGAGTTTAAGGAACAAGAACAGAAAGAGAAAGAAAAACAACTACAAACAAAAGCAAATTGTGTTCAGTAGCTAGCATGAGAGGAGGTGCAGGAGGGGATGCCTTTTAATAGTGGTAACCCCGTAGAGAGAGAGTGTGTGTGTCTTGGTAGGAGAGAGAAAATAATGTTTTATTTTATGTTAAAACTATTTTAAAAAATAAAAAAAATGAAAGAAAGAAACAGAGAAAGGTAGTGACATTGGAGTTGGGCCTCACTCAGTAACAGATCTGCCGCAAATGCATGCAAAGCTACGACACGTGTCTATGACGTGTCAAATAATTTCTTACGTGGCTGTCAATATCCATTGGCTAGCAGGGAATTCGCAACACTTTCCATTTTCTTCTGAAAATAATTATAAAAATTTTAAAAAGAAAAGAAAAAAACGGCAGTGTTTATCTAGATGTGAAGACCTGCAATTGATATGAGCTACTAGAAGCTGTCATTGGCTCGGTAGATTTTCATTTTTTTTCCTTGAAATATAAGACTATTTTTGTGATTTTTCATACTTGATTGATAGTGATTGACGCCGTATCTGGAAAATTTTAGTTGAACAATTTTTTTCTTAGCAACTAACATTTTTGTTGTTAATACAGTTTACTGTTATATATAAATATTAATAGAAAAGTAAATTATAATGAATAATAAGCTAATTATCAAGGTCATTTATTTTAACTTTTATACATAGAGACAAGTTGGGGGAATTGCATTAGACACATACATAACTATATTTTAATATATACGTTTGTATGGAAACTGAGAAAGATTTTATTCTAGTATTTTTGGATCACAATAATAAATAGCATATTTATGATTTAATAAATCTTTAACTATGATAAAAAAAACAGACACTTCTACAATTTAATATGAATTTAATATTTCGTAACATTTGAGAAAACTGTTGCTTTACATTGACTTTGTGAATTACTACTATATACTTATATCACTTAAAAAATGAGTTAATGGGGTAAGAGTTACCAGCACAATGTAATTAATTTGGTTGGAAATTCCTCTCTCATCTGCTATTATGTACCTTAAACACTAAATATGTAAATACTAAAGTGTTCGGTTTGAGATATTTAAAGTGACGCAAGCAATGGCTTGCGAGAGACGTGTTTTTTTCTTAATTATTGGTGATATGCTTATATTTGAGTTGATTTAAGACTAAATTTTACTTATTTTTTCTTCTATAATTTTTATAATTTTGAGAACATAAATAGTTGTAATCAATTTCAAATAATTGTAATAGATTTCATAGTACAATTACAAGAGGTTGAATGAATTTCATATACTATACAAATTCAGAGAGTTGTACTCTAATAATTACTGGTGGGTTAGGGAACTCGTTTTCATATTCATGAGAGGTTGAGGATGAATGTGTATTTGATTCTAATACAACATAATTCACTCCACATATCATTGTAACTCATCCTGTTGTAACCGATTTCATATTCACCTGTGATACAGATTCTAAGTAGTGTATTCATTGTCCATAACCGATTTCATTGATGAGTAATTTCAAATCCCATTATGATTAAATTATATTTAAAAAAATAAATTTTAAACAAAAAATTGACTTAAATAACATATCGTTTTAATTATTTTAATAAAATTTATTTTTTTCTATTACTTAAAATATTTTTTGTCAACAAATGTGTTATTTATAAATATAATTTTTATAGTACTATTATCAGTAACTAAGAACAATTTCGTAATCTTCATTTTCTATCAATTAAAATATATTTTATTTATTTATCACATCGATTAAATCCTACCTAAATTTTTACTATCTCAAAATCCATTTTTCAATCACTTTCAATTTCTTTAAAAAAATAACACACAATTTATTCTGAAATCTCCTTCTTTAAAAAAATAAGGGTTAAATATGTTTTTAGTCCCTAAGCTATTGACCGTTTCTGGTTTTCGTCCCTCTTCCAAAGTAAGGTACAATTTAGTCCTCAATCTTTAAAAAACGTTCGTTTTAGTCGAAAAAACGAACGTTTTGAGGACTAAAACGAGGACTAAAAACAAAATTTTAAGGACTAAAACGAACGTTTTTCTAAAGAATGAGGACCAAATTGTACCTTACTTTGGAAGAGGGACGAAAACCAGAAACGGCCAATAGTTTAGGGACTAAAAACATATTTAACCCAAAAAATAATACATAATTTATTCTTAAACCTCTGAAATCGATGTACTCTCTCAAGTTAACACACCGATGGTTAATAACTTAAGAATGAAAAAGATAAAATAATTTTTTTCCTCTTTTATTAAAATATCACTCGAGCGTTCACAAGCTGTGTTTGTGTGATAGTTTATTGTTTGAAAAAAAGTAAATTAATTTTCTTTCTTACTAAAAATATTATTTAAGTGAGGAACGCTTATCCAAATTATATCTATTACCATAAAAAAACCTCCGTGTAAATTATTTAAATGAATTGTTAAAAATGATATTTATGTGTTAAAAAAATCAGTGGTGGTGATGATATGATAAAATGCGAATATTAAGGTAATTTGTAATGATAAAAATGTAAAGTTAGTAGTTACTAATAAATACTATTAAATTAATTGTGTGTTGTGAATATTAAGTTAGGAGATTCAATATAAATTTTACTTACACTCAAATAATCTAAGATATTCTATCATGTGATCATAAACGGGAGCACCTATATTCGTTATAATATAATATTATCTTATTGGTAGAAGTTGCGGAAAGATATATATATAACCTAAAGTAAATATGTTTATTATTTTTACACATATTAGAGATAAATTATAGGTGTCATATTTAAGTTTGAACTTCCAAATTTTTTGTTATATATATTTAAATGTAAATAGTAAAGAGGATTGGTCTTAGTTATGTGAAATGATTTAAATTAGTTTACATATGTTTCCTCTTTTTCTATAAATATTAAAATAATGTCTTTACGAAAATAAAATGAAAAGAAATATTTAAAAAAAGAAAACTTTCAATATTATATATACATATATACATATATATATATATATATTATTTTTTAATTTTGATGATATTTTTTAAGTCTTATATTGAAAAAATATTTGAGTTGAAAGTAGTATTAATATTTTATGTGATTAAAATAAAGTTTTATTGATGTTCATCTTTTCGATGAAGTTTCTAAAAAAGCCATTATCTTCCTTTTAATAAGAAGTTTCAAATAAGTGTATATTATTATTGTGATATATAAATGTATATTAAACAATATACAAGATAAAAGATGATATTAATCTTTTATTTAAATTAGACTCATGTTTCATTGTTTATTTTTGCAATGAATTCTTTTTCGAAAAAAAAAACACCATTCTTATACTTTATAACTATAATAATATTATTTTTATATTATTGTAAATAGATAGATATAGATACATAGACCATAAATATATTTTATTGTTTTCATTTGTTTTATTAGGCCGAGAATGCTACCTTCACTTCTTTTTAAGAGTTGGACTAGTTAGATGAATATTATGTGATAATAACATTCATAATCTCACGTTTAAAAATTCATAATTCATATATTGTAGCATTACATTTAAGATTTCATAATTCATATATTGTAGCATTACATTTAAGGTAACATCCTATAATCTCATACTTGAAAATTCATAGTTGATATGTATATATGTTTTAAACTCAGATTTCAACTACAAACTCATAATTATAACTCCAATTCTTCTAATTTATTCTTCTATCTCTTTTTTCATTGGCACTGAATCAGACGACATTCATTCGTCTGCTCCCGTAAGATCATCGCACATACAGAAACACAAACATGCATAATTACTTTGATACATTCAACAAATCTCATATAATAATTATGTCAGACACCCTCATACCATCATACAACAATCGCATCATAGATATTCATCTCATCATACCACAATCCCTAATAGACACTCATCCCAAGTAGGGTGAGCTAACATGCAACCAATCATTTATACAACATGCATAATTATTTTGATACACTCAACAAACCTCATATAATAATTATGTCAGACACCCTCATACCATCATACAACAATCGCATCATAGATACTCATCCCATCATCCCACAATCTCCAATAGACACTCATCCCACAATACCCAATAGACACTCATCCCACAATACTCAATAGACACTCATTCGGATGATACGTTGATGAGCGGTCACGGGAGGTTATGCACTTGTGATGACTTCTAATTCTTCTTACAAATACACTTCCAAAATACTCCATACCATCCACAAGGTTAGTCCTCAATACTATGTCCAAAATCGGCACATAGATCAGGACCTCCTGCCCCTCTCACCACATAATTCATCCTTCTCTACTTAAGACTTGATGATTATTAGAGTATCAGGATAACCTCCAACGACAGGACCCTCAACATCAACATATACACGAATATCATATCCTTACAAAATCTCTCCACGAGACTCATACCATGCTCATATTCCTCAACTCATATTATACCATTACAAAATCTCCCCATAATACTCATATCATGTTCAGATGCATAAATTCAAATCCAATATAATAAAATACAATCATCACAGAATTCATACAAAATGAATATATCACAAAATAAATTAACAATACTAAAATATCCCCATAAATGGTCATTGGAGAAGAATCAAATGTTTGACGAATCAAAGTCACCATAAACGCCAGTACATATGACTAGTCACAACTTACTGGATTTGACCAGGGCTGCTCTATGATCAGGATGTACCAACTCCAGTTTTTAAGATTCTTCTATCCTACCATCACAATTATAATTCATAATTCCATATCTACCACAATAACATGAATTCATCAGAAATTTTCATTCCAACAAGATATATTGCACAATAATTTAACAGTACATAATCTGTTCAACAAGATTTAAGTTAAAAACTGGTCGAGTAGACTTCCAGGAAAGAAAGGTGTGTCACAATGGACAACTTAAGTACCAAGTCTTTCCTTAGCCAAAGTGTTCCTCAACTAGTTTTAACAAATTTCTTATTTACAGATTCAAAACAACAACATATAATATTAACACGGAAATTCAACATAGATAGATATA